TTCGAAGTTGACGGCTTCCACGAGTCTACAGAAAACAATTAATTCACCAGTCCTGCAGATAATATTTATATTGTGTTTTGGCAAGACTCACCTGATATCCGCAGGGACTGTGTCACCAGTCCTGAGTTCAACCATGTCACCGGGAACGATCTCGAGTGAAGGAATGGTAGAGGTATTCCCCTCTCGCGAGACGTTACCCGTGGGAGAACTCAAGGAACGCAGAGAATCCATGGTCTTCTCAGCAGCGTACTCCTGGAAGAAGCCAACGATGATATTGAGGATGATAACGGCGGCAACGACGCCACCTTCGATCCAAGATTGAATACCAAAACTGACGGCCATAGCCATGATAAGGACCTATTACACCACGACAACATAACACTAGATCAGCCAAACAGAGTTCCATACAGAATAAACAGGGGGTGGGAAAGGGGGAAAAGGGGGAAAGGGGGAAAGTGGGCCGCTTAACTAGCATCATTGCGTTGGCCACCTGGCTAACGAGAATCTTGACGATGGAGACGCCCTCGCCGCCCTCGAGCTGATTGGGACCATAGGTCTCCAGACGGCGCTTGGCTTCTTCGATAGAGAGGCCATCTTCGGGATCGGTTCCTAGTTCGCGAATAACGGTATCGTAGGAGAGCGAATGGGCGGGGAGAGAGAGGAGGCCCTTCTCCTCGCCGTTGCTCGAGGTTGTGTCGCTGTTGGGAGGGAGTTTCTCTGATTTCTCCATGATGATGGTAGAAAAGAGATTATTTTAAGCAATAGATATTTGCTTTAAATGGTAGTAATATTTGGTTGTAGATTGGATATATGTACGAACAGCGACGATGGAAGAGCGGGCTGGTCTCATTTGGAGAGGAGGAGACCTTGGCCGACAAGACAGAAGAAGCGGAATTCTTGTTTCGTTTATAATTTTTTTCGTTCTTTTCTTGTTCTTTTTCCCTTTTCTTTCTTTCTTTCCTTCCTTCTTTCTTCTCTTTTCTTTTTCTTTTTCTTTTTCTTTTTTTTTTTTTTCTTCTTGATTCACGGACAGAGGGGAGAGTTGTCTAAAGCTACACTTAAGGGCTATGGACGGTATGCAAGCATAGAACAAGGGAACAGGAGCTCAGCTAGTCCGGGGGAAAGGGGGATTCCGCAGTCAGTCAGTCAGCCCGCGATTCTCTCTATTGTGCAGATGAATCACCGAGCAAAATGACTGACGGGAGACGGGGAGGAGAAGATAGAGAAGAAGAAAAAAAAAAAAAAGGAAACAGAAGCTGGGCAGGGCGGGCCAGCCGGTTAACTTATATATGACGACGGGTATACGGAGCAGCTTAGGGAGTGTTCGCAGCAATCCCGGCAGTCATCATCATCTCATACCACCGGTGGGACTTGTGGGAGCGGGCAGCAGAGGACTTCTTATTAAAGCGTAGGGAAATCTTGGCCCGGCTTGGCCAGAGGAAATGCGCAAAATAACCAATCCGATAATCCAATAATCCAATCCAGTGAAAAAGAAAAAAAAAATCGCCTCCGTGGGAAACAAAACAGGAATCAGATACTAAAAATATTAATGTAAACTCTCTCGTCATGCCCCCAGCCTCCAGGTGGCTGTACACTGTACAGGAATAACCAGATATTAATCCAGTCGTTATTCTTTTATTTTTTTGCCCACACAGAAAAAAAAAAAAGAAGAGAAAAGACACCCCTCTCCTCCTCCTGCTCCTCCTCCCCCCCTCCCCCTCCTCTAGCTGTTACAAGCTGTAACTCCTCCTCCTCCTCCCAGCGTATTGAGTTTGCTGGTTAGAATAGTTGTTGACCTGTGGGCGAGCGAGCGAGTGATGAGTGTGTCCAGTGTCCTTTGAGTCTTTGACCCACGGTAGCGTGGAGACTTAATCCTGATAACATTTCGAAGCCTTGCCCTTTTCAAACCTAGCAACGGATGGGAGAACCTCATGGTCCATGGATTGCCTGTGCTTTGTTCCTCTCCTCCCCAACCATGACACATGAGCCAGTTTCATCTTCCTAGTAGGTTGTCTCCGCTGTGTGTTTGGTTCCCCTTCTCCCTCTCCCCTCTCTCCCATTCTTCCCCCTCCGTCCCTCCCCCCCACTACCACCACCACGTATAGGCCATTGGCCAACTGTTGCTTGGCCAAGGTTACACTGAGGACCGCATCCCTGGGGAGGAATGCTTGGCGGGGGTCTTAGCGTCCAGGTGGGAAAAAAAACAATTATTTGCCTGTTCTTGTCGTCGGCATTTTCCATTCGTAGGAGAGCGGGAACTCTTCTGTGACCTGTCGTAAGGGGAGGGGGGGAAGGAAGGTTAATAGGTTCGAATAGTTTCTTATTAGAGAGAGAGAGAGAGTGAGAGAGAGATGAAAAGGGAATAGGGAATAGGGAATAGGGAATAATGATAATGATAACTACTATACTGGCGACACCTCCGGACTGGGTTCGGAATGGAATCAATACGCTCGCTGTAACTACATGTATGTAATGTACATGTACATACACGGTAACTTACGTAGTTTGTAGTAACTTATACAAACCTCAACCACCTCAACCTCGGGCGGGTCGGTTCGGTCTGTATCTTCCAGAAGCTTTCTTTCTTTCTCTCCCCTGCTGTAAGTTATTAATTATTATTATGACTGTTTCAGGTACAGATTATATTACCAAAACCATTCCGCAAATGGCAATTATCCGCCTGCGTGCTTCAACTTCAACTCATGAGAATCTCTCCTCCAGAGTGGCATCATATGTATTATTATTATTATTATTATTATTATTATTATTATTATTATTATTATTATTATTATTATTCTTGTGATTATGATTATTCCTCCGGACTCTCTCTCCCTCAGAACCAGCAAATAATGGATGATGTATTCTGTGGCTAGATCTAGCTCTGCACTGCACCTGACGTTTCTCGCCGCGCTCTTGGCAACGGAAACGGATTGTCATTCCCCCCATTATTATCAGCATAAATGCACATTGCGGTGAGCGGCATGGGGGTTGGATAGAGCATGGGGGAATCGGATGGGAAGAGCGAGCACGGAACAGAGCACGGAGTATGGAGTATAGTAAGTTATGACCAAATTCCCATGCGAAAAATAATACCGTTTGTCGCACTGTTCCTGCGTACAAGCACACCGCATATCTTGTCCATCCACTACTACTATTATTATTATTATTATTATTATTATTATTATTATTATTATTCAGAACCAAAATAATTGGGGTCCTTCTTTCCGTTGCATTTTATGAAACAGCTATACGTTTCACTGTACTATTGACACCTCCTAGGAGATCAGACATTGAATAATGGGGACAGAAGCTATTCATTATTTTTGCTTCTCAATAATAGTATTATTATTATTATTATTATTATTATTATTATTATTATTAGTACTATTTCCACCCCGCCCCGCCCCATTGACTTATATGTGTACTGCTGTATCTCTGTGTATCCCACTGCCCCTCCTTGCTCCACACGTCATTGGCCTCATGGGCCTCTATAATAATTCTTATTTGAGGCGTTCGGCTAAGTGGGCAAGGGGAATTTAGCTTCTGTATCCGTTGTCTCTCGCTCTCCCTCCTCGGATTTCCACCTTACAAGGCAAGGCTTCTTTTATGCTTCCGCCACCAGTTAGTCCCAAAAAAAAAGAAAAAAAAGAAAAAAAAAGAAAAAAAGAAAAAAAAAAAAGAAAGTGTAAAAAGCAAAGTTAGTCTAAAATGTAGCTATCAACATAGGATAGGGATAGGACAATACACAGCCGGAGCTGGAGTTGAAGAGATGGAGATAAATAATAATTTACAACACGCACATACAGTAACTACATTATTACTACATGAGTACTCATCTGCTCTCTCAGCCTGATCTGCAGCCACTGCCTGCTGGTCTGATTCTCCATGATGATGAGACCAGATAGTGTTAGTGTGCATTCTCAAGACACTACTCCGTACTTATTTTAGAGAGACGACGCATACTCCGTACACAGTAATGAGCGAATTCTCAAGGAAGAAGCCCCCGCCAAGGCGTGGTGCAGGCTCTTGGTAGACACAAGACGAAACGACGATTTGATTCTGGAACACTCCATCAATCTACATATCATCCCATCGATCATGCATCGTTATCGTTATACTACTGTACGGAGTACATATCCTATCCTATCCCCATCCTATCTCTATTGCACTAAACTAAACTAGACAACCCCGATCCCGAGCTACTTAGCAGCAGGCAGGTTAGATTGGAACTTGGGATTACGCAGTACAGGCGTGTTCAAGCAAGGTAGGTAACTCCACAGTACGGAGTAAGGTTGCTTGCATGCATGCATGCGCATTGCGCAGCCTAAGCCAAGGTTGACCTAAAAGGATGTACGGAGGATGTATCTATTTCGCCCTAGCTAGCTAGTAGCTAGCTAGCTAGCGGGCGGGCGGGCGGCGGCGGCGGCGGGGGATTATCGTCCATCGTTATTTTAGGGAGGGGGTAGGGATTGGTGCATGCGTACTCCGTACTCTTGGACGGATCAACCGGCACTCACAGCAGGTATTATTATTACGCGGTAATAATAATCGAAGGACGATGTCATCGGCGTTTAGAGAAAACGCTAGGGGGGGGGAGGGGCAGGGGAGGGTTGTTAGCACGGGCTGTTAACGCCGCGGGCAAGCTTCAGTGGGATTTTGAGAGGAGGAGCAGGAGGAGGAGAGGGGGGAACGGCAAGCATTGGGAACGGAGGAGGGAAATGCAAGGAAGGGGAAGAGGGAGGGAATGCGGAGAGAAGCCGAAAAAGAACGAAAAGAACGAAAAGAAGAGAAGAGAAACAACCGAATCAAAATAGCTCTGAGCCCCCATTTTTCCCATTGGTTATTCATGGCCTTTGGCAAATCCCCAAGCATGATGCACTGCAGACCTGGAGTTGGGCAGATAGGGATTGTTGTTTTTGCTACCTTTCTCTTCCACCATTCAAACTAAAAGGAAAAAAAAAAAAACCCCCAAAAAGTTTTCACTTTTATTTTCCATTTATTTTTATTTTTATTTTTTATTTTTTCTTTGCTTCCACTTCCATTCCACGTTTTCCCTCCCCCTTTCGTTTTTGGTAACTATCATTTAAACAGCTCCAAACCTCTCAGGCTCAGGTCCCACCGTCCCACAACCACCCCCATCGACATCGGTCCGACAATGATAAAGAATAAGAACCCATGGTATGGAGTCTATGGACATACCAGCGGGGTGGGGTAGGGTAGGGTAGGTAGGGGGAAGGGGGAAACGGAAAACGGAAAACGGAGAACGGAGTAACAACCGTATTTATTAACTATTTCGATTTGATATCTCCATTCCAATCACCCGGACGGATTATTATTATTCACCGCTCCCCAAATAATTATATTATTGCCAGGCTCAACCTGTCCATTATTCAGCATCACGGCGGAGGAAGGGAATAATCATAATAATAAATAGCGAAAGTTGTCTTGGTTACTGCATGTTGGACCCGGCCATATTTTAACTTCAAAGAGATCGGATTCTCACTCACCCACCCATCCCCCATTCTCTTTGCTTTTTCGTATCATATCTCATCTTCTTCCACCCCCACGGGTGTTGTTGCCTTTCATCTTACTACTGCTCAAATTCTCCTGTCCTGCCCCGAGATATCATCCCAATTCCCAATTCCCAATTCCCAATTCCGATTGCGAGTTCTATTTATATTGCTTTTATTTTATTTTATTTCCCCCCTTTTTCTGAAACCCCGGGTCGGTCCGGCGGGTTCGGGAGTTTCGGGAAGGGAGAGCAAGCATATTACATGGTGTGGTATGGGGGAGTTGAAGAAACGAAATAAATATCGGGAAAAAGTGGGCAGGGCGCGGTAGAATTTCTCTTTTTCGTTTTCGTTTTTCGTTTCATCGTCTACGGGACCGGTGTGGTGTGTGTGTGCTGTATATGAGGATTCAGGTGCCGGGATAAGGTGGAAGATCGAGGTATGTACGCCCCTGCTGCAAGATTCGGAATGGTGGTGATGATGATGATGATGATGATGATGATGATGGACAAGGGGTTGAGGAAAGAGGACTTGGGTATTTTTCTTTTTCCCTTTTGAAGAATCTTGTTGTGTATTAAGGTCTACGTTACGGTAAGTCCGGGGATTTGAATCGCAGGTGAAATACCGCACAAGACCGCGGATAGCTCTGTCAACTACTGGTCAACGAGGCGAGACTTGTAAGTGACAACAGTGGGGTGTGTGTGTGTGTGTCTTGCCTGTCCTGTATATACGGCTGGTTCCGGATATCAACGTTATGGAGACATCTACACTCCGTGATGCAAGAATAGTCGTCCGGGAGAGCTGGGTCGATATATGCATGCATACTTACGAAGGCTTCAGAAAGGAAAATGAAATGTGATTAAGGAGGATGCATGAGCACCATGAATCATGTAATTTACAAAAATGAGCGAACCCAAACCCTTTTTCCGGTCCAAAATGCAGAATAAATGCACCGAAAAGTGACAAGAGAAAATGTTAAAAAGTACATACAAGAAAGAAGTAGTAGATACAGCGCCCACACGAGCACATGCTCATCCCATCTATAAAATGACTTTTTTTTTCTTCTTCTTTTTCTTCTTGTTCTTTTGCTTCTTTTATGCCTTCTCCACCTCCCCAATCGCCTGCCCAACCTTCACATACTGCCCCTTCTCAATCTTCCACTTCCAACCGCCCTCACGGTGCTCCCCCATCCACCCCAGGTCAAAACTAGGCCGCCCGCCCAACGGCGCCTCGAAAACCAACACAATCGAGCTCCCCAGCTGGAATCCGCCCATCTCCTCGCCGCGCTGTAGCGCATGGCCCTCTAGCGTCTTGCTGGCGTGGTGGTACGTCGCCTCCGAGAAGCCCGAGTAGGGCTCGCCGAGCTTGGCAGCGGCCGCAGCAGCGCGGTCCGCGGCCGTGTCGGTCGTCAGGCTGTTCGTGCGCAGCTCGGAGTCGAAGTTGATCTTGATGGAGCCGACGTTCGTGGCGCCGACGGGCGTCATGCTGAAGAACCCCCAGCGCCAGCGGCCGAGGAGCACGATGCGCTCGTTCAGCGTGAATAGGCCCGGCAGGGTGCGTTGGAGGTACGGGGAGACGGAGAAGAGTTCGCCGGCGAAATGGCGGCGGCTTTCGACGACCCAGGACACCGGGGAGTGGAAGCGGTGGTAGTCGCCTGGGGCGAGGTAGATGACGACGTAGAAGAGGGATCTATTTGAGGTGGGCGTGGGCATGTACCAGGCTGTTTTGCCCTTGGCGAGGTCGGCTCTGACCTTGGCTTCGGAGCTGGTGGTGGAATGCATAGATGCGTCTAGTGGTTTGTCTCCGGGGGCGTGGCCCTTTCCGGTGCCGGAGAGTAAGGTTGGGAGGGTGTAGGTGATTCCATTCATTTTAGCAAACTTCTCGTCTGCTGCCACATTATCGGGGTCTTTATTAGTGTGCTCGCGGTGTTCGTTGTGGTGTATTGGAGCCCTCGTAGGATGTACCGGCTCGTGGCCAGGGCTCAGCTCTTCATGTCCCAGCAAAGAATCCAGACTGTACGTCATGCCCTTGACCTGCTCGACTTCCCCGTTCTCAATCATCCCAAACTGTAGTATTCGTCCGTCGGCTGGCGAGAGAATGGCTAGGGGGTTTGGGTCGAGTGGACGGACACCGGGCTTTAGCTCGCGATAAAAGAAGGCGGCCAGGTTCGGGTAGGTATGGAGGTCGGGCTCTGCAACTTCGTCTAGATTGACGCCGAAAATCCAGGAGTAAAGCTTGAAGCCTGGGACGCGGAGATAGTAGGGAATGACCAGCTCGTTGAAGCGGCCCCAAAGTCGAGACATAGCCTTCAGGGGAAGGGTAGACATGACCTGAACCTGCCATGGCCCAGAGGGTCGGATTTTCTTCCGCGGCAACACTTCCTCGCTGCCCTCGCGTTCCAGCCGTTCCTTTTCTGCTCTTTTAGATCTGAAGAATTGAACAAATCCCAAGAACCCGATGCCCAGCCCGACAGGAATTGGATACCATTCAACTTTGGTGTTCCCCAGAGCTGTCCGCAATCTCGACCGAAACGACTCTTTCTCCTGTGATCCTTTTCCCCCCTGGCCATTTTGCTGCCAGCGTCCGGACGATGAGGAAAACGGCCTTCGAGATAAGGGCATTCTCCTGCTATTCACTCTGCATAGGGCGAGCTCTGCCGCAACAGCCTCCCAAGTTCCCACGAAGCTGGCGCGATTCTGATACACAGCTGCTCGTCTAACGACCAACATGCTGAACGGCGTTTTCCCTTCAGTGCTTCATAAATTATAGAGATAGTAGGCGGCAGATTATCACCCCGACATGGCACTGAGTTGCATAAGCATACCCATGAATCCAATTGAACCCAAGACGTGGACCCGAGAAAGGCGCAAAATTGCTAATCAATTTGTCTCCCTAATCGACGTCAGCGTGGAAAGTTGACTCGCAAATTATGGAGTTAATAGTTTCCATACAATTAGTTACAGATTTATGTTTATCCGAGCCGAGCAAGATATCGCCGCTGAGTCAGCAGCTCCCGGATCGGGTTCAGGCCACCTCAGTCAGTCCAGTCGTTGCCAGCAACCGCATCGCATCGTCATCGTTGCACTGAAACAGGATCAGTCCGCGCGGGCAGATGGTGTCATTAATGCAATAACATACCGCGCTTGGTTCCACGCTGTCTTTCGTTCGCTGAATGACCCAGCTTGTTGTGTACTAGCTGTTTGTGCTTGTGTTGACTGGATTGCCCAGCGAATTCTGCCGTCATCTCCCACCTCCACCTCGCTCCACATATCTCCCCCGTCCGTCTTCCAGGTGAAGCGACACGTTTCTTGTTCATACTAATCTCGTGTGGTTAAATACCATATCTTATACCACCAACTTCTGATCTGGATGTTGTTTACATAGCCTTTCGTCAGCCGTCAAATTCTGATCGCATTGTTGGCATCTCCCCCAGCGCCTCCGGACGTTCATCCGTACCTCCAAACTACGAGGAGTCTGAGGAGATTGGAAACCTAGAAGCCAGGATGTCGACAGATACCAAGCCTAGGAATATAGACGGCGTAGATGGGTTGAGCAGCGCATCCAGCAGCGATGTGCAGACTATCGTTCTTCATATCGTATCTCCATCCCTTCAGAACCGGGTTACTCTGAACAACGTTCCTCTTGCAATCAAGATCCTAGAGTTGAAGACTCGACTGTCTGAAGCGTTACCCAACCACCCTTGCCCAGATGTACAGAGACTCATATATAGGGGAAAGCCTCTGTTGAACAATGAAGACCAGCTAGGCAATATTGTCGCACCTGCAGACGTAAGTTCAACCCCTCTCACTTTAGTCCCGAAGGTCACAAACTTATGGGACTCGGTCTGCGATTAGGGTCGGGTGCACACAATGCATCTTGTTCTTCCCCCTAGCCAAGTGAGAGTTACCATTCCTCCTCCACCAAATCTCGCCCCAGATCTCCCGAACCCCGGCCTGCCGAACCCTCAACAGGAGCCATCCGGCTTACGCCTTCGGACAAGCGGCACAATCCACACTGACCCAACAGCACCGCGACCACAAGTGCAAGCACAGTTCAACTCTGCAACTGCCGCCAACCAGGTAGCTACTCTACGCCAGCAGGTCATAGCACAACATCAGCATCTGGCTGCGCAAATCGCTCAGAACGCACGGTTGCCATCCACTAATCGCCCCGCAGAAGCCGGACTTTCCACAGCGATAAATCCGGCCGGTATCCCAATACAGAATAACATTGATTCGCCATTATATGTTGATGTCAACTCACCTTTATATGGTACGAGATTTGGGTTGTCGACGCCGAATCTACAAAGCGAGCGGATGAGTTCGATACCCAGTAACCAAGATCGCAACCCATCGGACTCACAATCAACCTCTTCGAGGGCCACATTGTTCGATTCCTCTGCAACCCAACCTTTCCCCATTCAACGCACGGCAAGCTTTCCTCCCAGTCGTCCCACTTGGCTCGGTGAGACCGGAATGGGCGTGGGAACTTTAGGTGAAAATCGACGAAGAATCCCCGCAATACTTGAACAAATACTCGGTATGGAAAGCCAGGTACGGCGAGGCCAGCTTCCGACCATTGAGAGTATTTGTCGTATACGTATTCAACTTTACCAAATCCTGGATGAACAGGATCGCAATCCACTTGCGCCAAGAGACATCATGCCTGAAAACCTTCTCGCTCGACTATCGTCCCTTACTGCTCGGGTAGATCAAATAAGGCTTTTAAGAACCCGTTCCTTCACCTCTTCACCTCAAAATTCCTTATTTAACCCCCCACCCACTCTTCAAGATCCCACGCAGACGTCCATATACTTAGTATCTTCCCCATCTGGCTACCATGCAGTACTTCTTCCTCCAACTGGTGCGCCCGGACAGGGTACCATTCAGCCGGGAACGCAGGCATTCCATGCTCATAGGCCAATCATTCACCCGCCCATAACATCTATTCCACATGAAGCGCCACATGCGGCACCAAATCCTATGATTATTCCACCTGCGGTGAATCAAGCCATCTTGCAACAGCAGGAACGACATCGAATATTTTTGGGCCCAGCGAATTTCTCTCGGATACTAGGACGGCTTTGGCTTTTCGTTAGACTTTATTTCTTTTGCTACATCTTCAGCGAAGATGGTACATGGTTCAGGATTATTTTGGTTTCACTTTCAGTCCTCACAGCTCTTCTATCAGAAACGGATTTACTACAGCGAGCACAACGTGCGGTTATCGACCCATTACACAGACATCTCGAAAATCTGTTGCCTGTGGATACGCACCAGCCTCGAGACGCAGGTAGAGCGCGCAGAGGTGTAGACACAAATGTCCCTCCTGTGCATCCGATGCAACCCAATAACATCAATGAAGGACTTCGACCCGCAGTTGGAACGCAGCATAACGGAGCTATGGCCAACAGTCAACCGGCAGGTGCTTATAATAGGCTTAGGACGGCGGAACGAGCGTTTGCTCTTCTCCTTGCAAGTCTAGTGCCGGGTGTCGGGGAGCGCCGGGTGGCGGCTAGAAATGCGGCAGAAGCCGCGAGACAAAATGAATTAGCCGCTGAAAGAGAGGCAGAGGAAAACCAGGCTAGGGAGCAGGGGAATGAGGAAGCAGAAGCTCGTGGTGACCCATCTGGTGAGGAGTCTGAGGACGCCGCAGTCCCGGAACTAGACCCACAACCCGCTCATCCCACAGATGACTTGGAAGAAGATCGTGCCATCGAAACATGAAATCTATGGGAAAGCTGCGTGAAATGATATGATCGTGTCATCAGTAATTTGCCTTTTATGCTTCTCGGCGCTCCCTAACTTCTAATTTTTCTTTTTCTTTTCTATACCCAGCTCTCTTCACACAGCATTTGTCATCCATTTTAATTCCTAGGTGATATTTTGGTTTGGATAAACTGGCCCATATAGTAATCCGCACTGCTTTGTTAGATATGTCCTCTTTTACGGACCTGGAGCATTTCGTTACTTTGAACAGCGAAATACTTTTGTTATTATGCCTGTTTGTATGCATGCATGTATGAGTAGGTAGGAAAATTCGTCTGTTTATTTCCCCCCTCAAGCTTTGGATCTTGAACACGAAAATTGCATTTGGCTTCCATTATTTATTGAATTCAATTAGCCTCTTCTCCGGAACATCACCTCACGCCCTTGCTTCAAAGTCGGTCGAAGTTGCCGTCTGCATCTCAAAACCATCCTAATCCTCCTACCATCATCCATATCCATCCGAAACACCTACCTGTCAAAAGATAAACAGTACCACCCAGCACAAATAGGTTAAATAAAATTTCAACATCAGAACCACGGGGACAATTAAAGGCAACATATATAAATTCTCACTTCCAACGCAGTTTACTCACAACCATATCTCGACACCCACCTACCCGCCGGCCCACTTACCGCTGGACCTGCTCGTCCACTTCCTCGCCTGGGATGGGAAGCCTCGAGTGCGCGATGTACCACTGTCTATACGTTTCGCGCAGCAAGGCGTCAATGGAGTTGTATGGCTGCTGTTATTATCCTGTAAAAGGTCCCCGCTTAGCTGCTGAAAGACAGCATGGCAATAGTTTTTTAGCCACTTCTGGAACCTCTACTGGACCTTATGTGGGAGGGAAACCGAGAGATTTGGTCGTCATGAGCGGACGCACATGGCTCCTAGAAGCGTCTGTAAATATCCTCCGTTGACAGAAGGACTTTCTGCTTTCCGTGGATGACTAGAAACGTATATACTAGCCAAGCTAGGGTTAAAACGAGTGGAATAGCCTGTAATTGACCCACGTCAACTATTCTATTCCATGTATTCTTGGACCTAATCATTCTCAGGAATAACAGCATTCCCATCTGATGTCATCATCCCGAGTAAACCGGCCGGCTCTCTCTGTGCGCCACGAGGCTTGTTCGAGAGATGGCCATCACTAAACCCTATATTCAGTAAATAAGGTTTCAAGTTTTACGCTGTATGGAATGGGAATAAAAGCCCGTATGATCAGGGCCTCTCATCCCAGACGACTGCCAGCATAATCTTCAATGGTGGAATAAAGAAGAAAATCCGTCAAGGCTGTTGTTCCTTTCATTCCCACTGAAAAATAGACGTATATACTTTATTTAATATTCAGACGTAACTGCCATCAGCGCAAACAAAGCTGCAACGTCAAAGGTTTGTTTGCTTGTACGCGTTTTGTGTACTCCCTAACCTACTCCGCCTGTATGTACAGTACTCTGTACACCGAGAACATAACCTTACCCGTGATACAGGAAACATACTCTCTGGTAAACACCTCCGCAGCTCCATTACTTTTGTATAGTTAGGGTTTGGCGCCGGGGCCAGGAACGAGACGAATACGACGTAGATCTGGGATCGTAGCAGTGGATCTAGCTTCTAAGGTCGCTTGCAGTATTTGTGGAGCCCAAGCTGGCATTTTCCAATCATACCAGATATCTAGAATAATGCTAGCGACGCTCGGGGGAAATGGCTAGTGATCTTGGACTAGCGAAGTACCAAGTATGGCCGTAGAAGATGCATTGTTTTGTAGGTGGGTGGCTGGGAGGGGGCAGCAAGAGAATATTCGCGAGTGGCCTATCAAATTGCAACTTTGTATCTCGACGAAGTCAAAAGTTCACGATCCGAACAAATAATGTGCAAAAGGGGAAAGCCGACATGTCAAGGAACCAATCAGATGCCTTCAATGAAATAAGATTTTAAGCATAAAAATCCTTGTGAAGGTTCCAAAAACTTTATCCGAACCCGAACATGAACTACTAGTTTTTCCCTACCCTTTTGCTTCGAAACACCCGAAACTAGTGAACCCCGAAGTTCATTGGGCAGAATGTCAAGAACAGCAGCCAGTCAACACGACTTGGTGACGCTTCGTAGTTGTGCCTAGAGGAGAGAATCTCTTGCACTTAAAATGAGCCTAGTCTTACTCTGGCTAAAGGGTTCGTCAAAATCTCTCTAGCAAATAGCATCGGCCAGCCTCGATTCCCCCAGACGATGAGCTAAATATCCAAGTGCGATCCTAAGCTCCATTGCCTCTAGCGTTATTAACATGAGGCTCCCATTCTGCGCTTTTCGGGTTCAAACAACAGGGGTTTAAAAAGCCTTGAAATTTGTCCTGAGATATATATATTCTTTCGCCCACCGGCCCGAGAAATGTGTAATATCTCAACTCAGAAGCACAAATACTCTCGTTAGAACCAACTTCGTCGTCGCTCTTTTTTTTATATATTTTGCTTTCGATACGCCAGCCACCCGGACCCTCTGCCGATATTTTGATACCTCGATAAGCCTCTACTCCCCAAAAATGCAGATCTCCTTGGTCCTGGTGTCCCTCGGCCTTCTTGGCCTGAGCCGCGCTGAGAAGAGCATTGTGACAGAACTGGCCTTTCCTGGGCCAGTCGACCCACAGCCGATAGTGGCTTCTGTGGTCAAAGCGGTAAGACGAATATACTGAAAATGTGGTAAAGAGGAATGATAGACCCTAGTGTTGAATGGGGGAAAAAGAGAAGAAAAAAAGAAGAAAAATAACCAAAAAGAAATGCTAAAGCAAGGCTGATCTCTCTTCAGGACCCCACCGCAACGGTATATGCCCTTGAATGTGCCCCAGGGACTGACGACACCGAATGCGGCGTGCCTGGCGTGAGTTACACTACATCACCCCCAAACAAGGTAGCAATGGGCTTCCAAGGGTATGGCGAAGATGGGTAAGTTCTCTAGAGTCGTCCTCTCACTTCCTTCCCAATCCTGCATCCCTCGCAACGAGGATAGAGAGAAATCGAAAATCACATAAGCTCACAAAAAACTCCCGCGCCAGCCCCGCGAGCCACTATCTCGAATGCACCATCCAAGGTCCCTCGGCCGACTGCACGAAAGTGTTGATGGTGTCTGAAACAGGCAAAGGCTTCTCCACCTCGTACGCAGAATCTACCCAAATCCCCACCTCTGGATTTATCACGCCCTGGAAAGTCACAATTACAGCCGGCCTGGAGAAGCTGGAAGGAGCTACGGCGGCTCCGGCTCCCTCTAGCGGTGCGAGCGTTACGCCGACTGGAAGTGGTACAGAGGCTCCACCGACTGGGACCAATGCTCCCACCACTGACAGCAGCACCGGTTTGGCAATGCCTCTAGCCACTGCTGCTGCCAACTGGGGCGCTATTGGTGGTGTGGCCATGGCGGTTGCAGCTCTTGTTGTGTGAGCGGAAGTTCGCATAATGGGAAGTGGCAGTTGGTGTACATATACCCTAGCGGCCTGATTTATGTATGGTAAAGGCCCGTCGCATGTCCTCTTTCATGTATACAGTGCAGATCTTTGTGGCTATATAATATAATGGATAACTTCACAATGAAATATTGGGTTGATCTATATTTAATCAGCAAAGTCAAGAATATCCATGGGTATATATCCTAATATTCTAAGGTTAGCCACGAGACTCTCTCACATTCCCCCGCAATATTTCCCTAGCATATCGCTTCGCGCAGGTGCGTAATGATCTAGCTTGAAGTAACCATGTTTTTGGTGCCTACCTAATAATAAATTTAGAAGTCCAGAAGGCTCGGATCAATGTGAACAATGCCAGGCGACAGGAGCTAGCGAATGATGGGCGAGAAGCCCATGGAAAGTGAAGGGGGTAGCGTGGCATGGGGCAGTGTGTTCTGGGTGACTGCGGAAGGACTGATGGCTGCAGTCATATAGAATATCGCCCATCGCAGGAGTGCTGTTGGGTTCAAATGCCAACAGCGCCCATACTGTTGACCCTCAAGAACGTGCTTAAATATTCACCACGACGGATATATTAGGAGCGGAGAGTAATCGAAAGGATTTCGAACCGGTCTACTCTCCGGTTAGGTAGTATAGGTCAATAAACGACTGCACCAAAAGGATCAGTCCTGTGGTGGGGGGTAGGTACCAGCTGAAGGTATCTGATATGCTTGTCGGTTTAACAGGTAGTTTGACAAATCCCCTCGGAATTTTGGAAGTTAGAATTATAGTGGAGGCAAAATAGAAACTAGATCAAATATCAACTCAACTTTAAGCTGGATGTAAAAATGCTATAGGTGTTGCGGGCTTCGAGTAGACCTTATGTCCCTGATTCCGTGTTCATAGTGGCAAGGCTATGCCACAAATTGACCGAATATAGGCGAAAGGCCATCAGAGTGAATGTGATGAAAATGGTGTCATCAGGAAACCAAATGCGAGAAGGAGAGTAGAGAAAGGCTCAACACTCGTACTCCGTTCACCAGTAGGTGACTTTTCCAGTTCAATGGACATGGGTTTCTTCCATAGCCCAGCCTAGTATTGATGGCTGTGATCAGCTTAACAGCGCAAAGCCACGGGTGGCAGAGCAGTGCCCAGCGACTGCAGTAAAGAAAAGAAAAGAAAATAATAAATAAATTAAACAACAGGTAGTATTTGAATTAACATCGTTGGCACAGAGCATGGGAAATGAGGAGATAAACAGCGCTGACCATTTTGGCGTTCCTCCAGGCAAGGCTGGAGGAAACATCAGAGCGATCACCATTTCTATGCACTGAATAATGAATGTAGCTTACCTTACCTTACAAAGCTTGAGTAACTACCGAGTTAGGACAAAGTAAACTGGCTGGACGTTAAAAAGCACAATAGAGAGCGAGCAATTCCAAACTGCCATCTGGTAGCCAACTAGGTGCAGTGAATCGATTGATGTATCTCATCACGCTTCGGGCGAAAATAGATCCATGAGGTTAATTTGTGACAACTATGGAGTAGCAAATGGTTTGTGCTTCCATAGAGCCTGTGACGGCCTAGATAGAAGCTCTGCCTGTTCCTTTTCAATTTAGGACGCCAGACGGTTAGTGTCATCCAAGCGTGGATTGAAGGGAAGCTGAACATAATTTTAATTTGTAATTGCAGAATGCCTTGGCATGGTTGTACTCTCAAGTTGAATATCTGAATAAAATTGATATTTTTGATATAGAGCCCTCTAATGCGGCGTTAATAAACCGTGCCGTCACTGGCTGCCACCCTTGAGCCGTTGTCATTTTTGTTTGACAATCGCGCGGAACTTTCACCCGCATTCTGATGCCGCGACGGTTCCTTATGGGATTATTATTGATTGTACCCGGGAAGAGGGAGCAAATGGGGCAGTGATGGCGGGGATGTCCTGTGCCTGGTTCTAATAATAGAAGATCTGCTTATTATTGCATCGGCAGGATCGGATAGTTACAACAAGAAGATTGCAGAAGAGTGGGATAAAGAGATCGTCGTCGCATTTGGAGCCATGCCATGTTGCAGCTACACCAGGCCTGTGGGCAAACAATTCCAGCCGAACAGCCAGAGCTATCTAGTTACCCATTAGCGATGACTAACGTTTGCTGTGGGCTTGGTAAGAAGCTAAGGAATGCTCCTTCGTCACCGCCCAGCTTCTTTTAAGGCTGGGAGGAATGGAAAGTTTGTGCCGTGGCTATATTTACACACGTTTGTATGCGGCTATATATCGCTGGGGCCAGTAGTAACAAGCGCGATCTCAGCTTGTGGGTTCACCACCGTGGGAGGATGCGCCTAAGCCACTCCCACTCCTCTTTAGAGGCTAGGCTTGCCATGTCAATGAGCGCAGCTGTCGAGCCAACCAGCAGTGTGGGGGACTGATGTTAGCTGAGTTGAGCTTCGAGCACAGAAAGGAGCGAAATTTTGTATAAATATGCCTCCTCCTCCGGCCTCGAGAATGGTTGTTTTCCCCTTTCATCTCATCATCACTCCTCCAATAACAGATAACTTTGCCTGAAATCTATAAACCAAACCAATCGCTCCAATTCTAAACCAGCAAGAATCGTTTATTTGAAACAATAACCCTCTTGATACTATCCTCCTCTTCCACGCAAATCCACAACCGCCAACATGCATTTCCTCCAAGCAACCACATTTTTCCTGGCCGCTTTGAGCATGCAGTCCGTCTCCGCCTCCCCAACCAGAAATTCTTATCCCGTCTCCTCAGAATGCCCAATTGCCCGAAACGCCTGCAAACCCGGCGAGAGCGGAGTCCTACGCATTCCCGAGATGCGCGCCATCCTCAATGGCCAACGCAGCGAGAAGATCGGACATAACATCATCCTCAGCAAATCCGGCGACAAGAAACAGGATCAGGAAATGACCTTCCACGTCCCCAAGGGTGCCAAGACGTGCAACCTCAAGTGGGACCAAGGCGAAAAAAGAAAATTCATCGTTCAGGATTCTGGATTAGCCAAGATCTACCCGGTAGAACCCGCTGGGGCGGAGAGCGTTGGCGCTGCCGATTTCACCAACTGGCCGCAGGTCAAGGGCGCCCAGTCGCACAGAGTCACTTCGATGGATTGCAAGGAAGTGCTGACCTTGCGTTCTTCTCTGGAACATGATGGGGTTGTGAAGATGAAGCAGGATGCTACTAATGGCTGGTATTTGGAGTACTCCTGCTAAGCGGCATATTCGCTTAATCTATAAGTGACGACAGGGAATGACTGTGCTTTTCTCTTTCTTGTGTATTCTGTTCTCGTTTGGTTTGAGTTTCTTTCTCCGAATCGATTGTTCTGTTTCATTGATTTTTGTATGCCTCTATTTGTCTTGTCGGTGTTGTTTGAGCGAACATTATATAGAGATCATCTAAACACCTGGTTAGCGAGAGTATTAATGTTAATGTGACAATAAAAATGCCCCCAAATAGCAATGTTTCCTCATTGTACAGTGCATACCTTCAATATAGCCAGCGGTCAGAAATATACTATTGTGAAAAACGGATATGAAAATTAAAAATATTAAAACAAAATAAAGTCAAGGGGGTGAAAAACAATGCCTCCTCGAAACATTCCTCTATAGTTTGCCTAGGTCTATCCAGACGTTGTGTATCATCATATATTGATCGTATATATCGCGGCGAGAAGCGTTATATCGGTATTCCAATTTCGGAATCAATTCTTTCCTAATCACTGAACCTTGTGGGTATATCCCAGACGCAAGGATGTATGTACAGTACATGTACATCACGAATAAGAAAAGGGTGAACAAAACCCTCATAACTTCGCAGGCGAACACTCAGCCTCCGTCACAACTACTGCAGCCGGGGTCGTGTCGAAATCCTCCTCCCCGTTAAAGTGCCTAATAGCCTCGTTAGTAAAACAAATCTAGAAAATAATAGAAGAAAAACAGGAGCTCAAAAACATACCATCCCCTCTCCTTCCCACCGCTTAAAAACCCACACTCCCCATTCCCTACGCAATCCCAACCACCCCCTACTCCCACCCCACCCTGCCACCGCGGCACCTTCTTCCCCGAAATCATTTCGACATCTGACCCTTCCCCATACCTATCCCGATTCCCATCTCCGTCCCCACCCCCACGACCCGACCTCCTCACAAACGTCGACAAACTCGCTGTAAACGGTCTGAAGTCCTCGACGCACGTATCCTCCGGCATATCCCCCGTAAGCGCGCGCCCCATCGCAATTAACGGCGCGGCATGCGTGCATATCAAAATAGCATGACTCTGCTTCGCCTCAGACGGGTTCTCACGCTCGTAAGCTTCGAGTTCCGCATCGACTTGTGCGATTATCGCTTCCAGGGTTGTCGCGATGCGGTCGTGGAGTCCTGCGATATTCTCGCCGTTGGGGGAAGGGTAGATGTGTGGTTTGTAGTTTGCATGGGGTGAGGTGGAGTTGGCTTCTATATCTGAGGAGGATGAGGAGGTGAGGAGGGTGGGAAAGTGGGTTTGGAGAACTTCTGGCGATGCGGGAGCTGGGTGTGCGAATGAGGATGAGGAACCAAACCATTCCCTGTGCAGGCAGAAAGCAAGGTATGTCAGTATTTTACATTGTATCCTGCTGGAGTTTCATTCCTCTAGCTTTGTTAAAATGTATATGTAGGGGTGAGGGAACTCACCCTAGTCCATTCTCAACCCTCACGTTTAAATCCACATATGGTTTCTGCTCGAGTTCCTGACGGGCCTTCAACACCTCCACGGTGGGCTGGATAGTTTGCAGACATCTGTAGAACGGGCTGCTGTAGACTCTACATGGTCTTGGGAAGAATTCATCGCTATTGATGTGCGCGGCCAGTTCGTGCGATTGGCGCACCCCGGGTCCTGTCAGGATTGGGTCGACGGGTATTCCGGTGGGAGTAGGGTACATTGAGTGGTAAGTCCCCGTGCTTAGGTCTATAGTCCAGTTTAGACGGTGCTGTAAATGATATCATATATTAGCTTCAGCTTAATAGACTGGATCATCGGGCACAGAGGAGACTGCAAATATACCCCATGTCGGGTCAAGTATATCCTGTCGAGGGGCATTAGAACGGGTAGAGTGGGGAATTCTATAAAAAGAAAGAATACACCGCTATCTATGCAAATGAGTAAGGAAAATAGAAATGAGATTTATGTTCTGTTGATATAATGCCCGGCAGAATAACCGGCTATATAGGCGGTGAACCAAACACCTCGGCTCATTGGCGGTGGTTCTGGGTCTCACAGTTACCGCGACCAATGACCAGCAGAGCAGAAACTACTACGTAGAGAGGCCAAGAGTCTTCGATTGTCAAATACGATATGAAGGACAGGCTATCTACACAATACAACCCAAAGTAGTAGGATGGATGACGCGGTTCTCATTACAAGTATAGCAGATACCCCGCAGGGAAGTAGTACAAGTATTAGCCAGTAGTAAAGAAATTCACTATTCGCTCCGAACCTAAGGACCTGCTAAAAATATCATAAGAAACTTTTATTCATGGCTAGATGGCTTGATCTAATAGAAGAATCCGATGATCTTGCCAGCAACGTGCTTGCGTCTGGCCTCCTCGTGGTCCATGATACCAGCAGAGGTGGTCAGGACAATGTAACCGAACTGACGGGATGGAAGGAGTCTGACAACCCACTTCTCGAGGTCACGGAGCTGGACGTTGTAGCGGGGGGAGATAACACCGGTCTTGTTGAGACTATTGACGCAGAAGACGTCAGTGGGGAAAGACAGGAATTATAATCTAAATCAGGGAAACATACCGTCCATTGAGCTGGATGACGATCTTGCCAGAGCGGTGGTCATCGACCTCCTCAAACTCGCCAATGTAGCCTGTAAGAGAAATAGAATGTAAGTAATGTGGCGATGAATTAAATGTTGCCAACCACAGTAAAAAATAAGACAGGAAACTTGTAAGATCAACGCCAAAAAAATAATCTATCGGGCATTTAAAGGGCCGACGTCGTAGAGTGGTTTTAATGATCGAGAGCGCCGCCTAGTTATCAACCCGAATATTTCGGCTTCGCATATCTTATGTCTTGGAGACAAGATGAAGCCTTCATTCTGTGCAACATCACAGGACAATTATGGACAAGGAAAGAAAGGAAAGGAACAGGAAGAGAAAAATTCCAAGACGAATCAAAAGCATAAGAAAAAAGGAAAGCAAAACTCACCATGCTTCTGCATAACACTCAGAAACTTAACAATGACCTTGGAGCTAGGTCTGATGAGGACCTGGCGCATGCCGGCCTTCTCAGCGTTGTTGATGGCGTTCAGCGCATCGTTGAGGACACTAGTCTTAACCATCTTGACGGTTTATAATGTGCTTGGCACGGAGATTCTCAGATCGAGGGAGGAATTTGGAAATGAGGTATCTATGTGATATCCATAACGGGAAAATGATGGTGTACTACGAAACCATTTCCCGTTCCCCCTGACCAGGGGAGAGCCGGGAAATAATTCCATCGTACATCGCAACCAAAACAAAGTTAGCCTTCAGCAGTCTTTTCGAGCGCAAAGAGTGCCCCTCTTTCCACCTAATCTCGATTTGAGAGCAGCCAGAGAAAGGGGTTCTTAAGCCCGTGCCGTTAGGGACAAAGCGTATCACCCTGCGACTAGGGCTTAAAAACCGGAATCAGGTCTTCGAGCGCAAAGTCCATGGTGATTGCTTTACCCAGACTAGCTAAAGGGCGACTGAAACAAGCATAAAGAAATTACAGGGTGGCTAGAAGAGTCACATACCTCGATAGATGGTGTTGACGGTGGGTGCTGGAGAACGGAGTGCTGAGAGTGAAAAAGTCGACCGCGTCGAAGTTGCTGAATTTGACAATGTTTGCGTTGGAGCCGCTAGTGAGGTCCGCTTAGGGCTTAGGGTTTTCCGTGTCGTTGCCCTAGTTATATCACGTGATATTAAATCCAAATTGAGATTCCGGAACCCCCAGAACTGTCCCGATGCTATATATTGAGCCGGTAGAGGTAAAGATAGAAATGTAAGCACGTCTAATCGAATTCATTGAGGCTAGAGTCGTCGTTTGGGTAGGAGGTACCCTCCTCAGACACCTATACCTGCCCAAGGAGTAAAAGTATCTCTTGGAAATTCGATGAGGTGCATTTTGCTTTGTGAAATAGCCATTCAATAATAATTGAGCAGACACCGCAAAAATTTATCAACGATTCATTGAGCTTAGGTATAACATTGGGAGGGCAACGTTCGACACCCCGCAAGGCTGCAACCTCCTCGCACCGAACTAAAAAAAAAAAAAAAAGAAAAAAAAAGAAAAAGAAAAAGAAAAGCAAAGAAAAGAAAAAGGAACAAAAAATCCAAATAACTACTCGTTTACATTCCCAGCAAGATCTACTATTTCCTCATTGTCGTCCCAACAAAAATCTAGAATTGCAGCTGCACGAACTAGACCGCATGCTTCTATCTACTAATGACTGTAAAAAGCGAAGAAATGGGTATCGCATAATAATATGTGATAAGTATTCTTAGATTCAAAAGCCACCCATTCATTTATTAACTAGTTTTGAAAATGGAAATGAAAGGGAAAGGAACTAAAGAAACGACGAATGCGCTGGTGTTGTGATACGATGAATGGCTTGCATGGGGCAAAAAAAGAAGAAAAAAGAGAATTTAAAAATAACAACGGGTACATGATTTTTGGGGCATACATGAATTCTAGTGTAATGAGTAAATAAAATGTATAAAAAATTGTAGGTAGGGACGTGAACGAGGAAAATACCATAGGAAGGCAGGCCGGGTCGTAGCCGGGGAGAGGGGGGGGGAGGAGAAAAAGGGGGTCTGGAGATGGGGATTTATTCTGTGTTGATTTGTGTATGCGTATACGGGCGTATGGGGGGTTATACGGGAATACTTTCTGAAAACAAGCATCGACAGCACCTGATCGTTGGGTAGGGCGTGGTGGAACGAGGGGCCAGGTTGATGAATTTTGTTGGTGAATTAGCTGGGAGGGATACATGATTAGTGCTTGGGGGAATACCGGGAAGGGAAATATGGTTCGAAGGGGGCTTGAAGCTTGTTTTGACAAGAGGTTGGGCCGGGGCATGGTGATATCGGAACGTGTGCAGTGTGTAGGGGCAGGGGTTAAAGTGTGCCGAATCGTTGAAAACTGTTGTGTAGGACGCGAATGTCAACGAGGAGAAGGGAGAACGGGGGCTTAAAAAAGAGAAAACAGATTCCTGCTTCTTTTTCTTAAAAAAAAATCATTTCGTTTACTATCCAATCGGTCCCATGAGCTGGGAAAACTCGCACAAGAGCGGTCTGTTGTTCATTCATTTTTCATTATCCCTTTCCGTGAATGTGCTCCAGTCAGGGACGTCGCTTCCCATGTCTTGTCGGGTTGCTGCGTTGGGATGGAACCGACGATCATGGGGTATTATTTGGACAGAGCCAATGTTCGTGAAACGGCTGGGGAATTCGCACAAATAAAAACATGTCACTTTTTTTCGATTGCGTTTATGACATAGCCTGTGCCGTCGCAAGGCTTATTTGGCGTTTGACCTGTTCACGAGCCCATCGTGCTGTTTCAATGGTGCGAGGCCCAAATTCTCGGTTCGTTCGTGTTTCCCGAATCAAGTTGGAGACAAAATCGTTGCGGAAGAACGCCGCGAATTCGCCGTTTGGGAACGTATCGGCAAGATCACTGAGAAAGGTTTGTTAGCGATATATATCTACCAGCACGTAGTCAAAGCCAACATCGTGTCTAGAAAACTAACCCGATAAGACCCATACTAGCTCTCAGTAAACCCTCGCTCCGATTGGTATCTTGAGCAATAACATTTAGAAGTTGGAAAATCGACTCGACGTATGGTTGCAATCCGTTAACTGCAGATTGCAAAAGTTAGTTCTCAGGAAAACTACACAGTTTTCACCCCAAGGTAAGTTAACGAGTACCTACCATTTTGTGTGCCTTTGTACGCAAGGAGAATGCCGCCCCACGCATCCATAATACCTTCCCGAAGGGATATAATATAATCAAGCATATCGAATGACACATCAGGACTAGCGGTGACACCTGATGCCTGTTGCAGCACACCAGCGACAACGACCAAGTATGTATCGAAATGAGTCCCGATAGCCTGAGCGATGTCTCCGAACGTCTCAAGGATGGACGGTTTTAGTTGATTGCTGAGGGTGGTACTCTAAAGAAAAGAGTCAGTAACTTGCAAGCTTTATATAGACAAGTGCAAAGGAATCAACTTCCTACCCTCAGGTTATTAAGTAAGTGATTCATGAACGTATCACAGTAGGGCTGAGCCTTTTCGCCCAATGATCGAGTGATATCACTAACTAGTCCGATTGCCATGGCACACAGACCAGCCTCCTCCTGGTTACCCAGCGCGTTATAAAGGAACGGAATAAACGAATCCATATACTTGATGAAATCCGCCTCCAACGCGCTGGCTATCGAGCCAACTGTGGCGAAAACTGTATCTGGAACACTCGACTTTGGAGGTACAGTGGACAGAATTTGTAATAGAACGTGCATGATCCGGTCAGCCTGAGGCTTGATCTCGCCTTCCAGCCGTTGTACGATAGCCTTGAGTTGACCTATTAGGACCTAATAATAAAGAACATATGGATGCGGACAAACAATAGACTTACTAATAGCACACTTGTCAAGCTCGTTTGCATTTCTTCAAGCGTAATACGATCTTCAACGCTGACAACCTGCTGTTGCATTGGAACGGTTTGTTCGAGTCGTTGAAGGATAACGTCAGAAAGGTTGGCAACGATAGGAAGGCTGTCATTAGCAGCATTAGTCACGAACGAGTTCAAAACCTCGTACGCAGCAGTTCGAAGCTGATTATCGGTATCATGCCTAGGATTAGAAGTTAGCGAAGATTGGCCGAGATAAGATAGCCCAAAAAAATCAAGTTGAAAACTTACCTCTCCGTAACACTAAGAAGCGAAGTAACACTATCCTGGAAATGTTTCGATAGAGGGTTGGTCTGAGCACCGGCCTCCCCAGCAAATCGTTCCGCAAGGTTCATCAAAGCCCAGCAGCAAGAGCCCGCGATCTTTGGGCTGCTAGCCAAGCCATTGAACAAACATGATATAAGCGGTTGCAGGTGAGCTTCTGGGTCAATAGATTCAGAGCAATAATCACAGATTCGCCCAAGCGCATAGGCAGCAGAGTCCTTAACGTGAATTACTTTATCGTCCATCATTCCGATTAAAACTGGGAGCGCTTGCTTGATCAATGGATCGAGCGTTTGGACATCAGGGCCGTCCATGATGGCACCGAACGCAGAGACAGCGGCATCCCGGCGGTGCCAATCCTCACTTCTTAGGTTTTCTTCCACAAATGTGAGGACAGGTGGGATCACCTCAGCTGCAACGCACTGGGCATAGAGTTGCAGCGCTTGGTAGGCGGCGCGTGAGGTGTCATAGTCGTCATCAGCAGCGTCCTCATCTTGCTTCGTCATCAAGTGTAGCAGGACAGGAACAACCTCCCTACAAGCAACACGAGCAAAGCTGAAAAATGGGCGGATTTCGGTAGATCCCTCTGCTTGTGCCTGCATATGAAAGTTAGGAAGCCGCTATACAAACTAAAGCCCATTTTTGCGTAGTGGGACAAAGAAATAAAAACTCACGACTGCGTTATCGTCTTCAATTGCAATTTCCTCCTCGCAAACAGTACACCAGAACTCAATAGCGAGCTTCGCAACATCCTCCTCCTCATTCTTCATACCAAGAATGGTAAGCCCAAAGAGCGCCTTTTCCATATAGAAGCGCATTTTCTCATAGTATAGACCCATGATTCTATTCAAGCAGCCAAAGGCCCCGCTCTGTATCCGCGTATCTTCAGCTTGTGTGGCCTCGCAGACAACCTGCATAATATAATTTCGCTCGCCGTCATTCTCAAAGTTCGACCGTACAAATTCCATCGCATCACCCAATGCCGTAAGCGCAGCGTTTCGAACCTCAGTGTTAGTTTCTTCCCGTCGTGCACCCTGGACGACGGCTGTGAGGATGGCATTTGAATGCGCACTTAGGCTATCGCGAAGCTCTGGCTCGTCCGATTCGCAGATAAACCCAATGGTTGTCAGAGATGCCTGCTTCATGTGATCTGAACCAGAGTTGACATTCTTCACAAGAGTATCCATTAACTCGGGCCATTCGTTGCGCGGGAGCTCAATAGCAGCAATAACTGCAATAAGCTGTGCTGCGGACTGGCCAGCTCTGGCATCGTTGCTTTTTAAAGTCTCCAACGCGAGTTCCTTAACGGTCTTTTTGACCTCAGGGCTAAGCTGATGCACCCATTTTCCCTGGACCTCTCGCAATCGGTCAAGCTCTCTGAACGTGAAGGAATTTTTTAGCGCAATACCGGCCGCAATTCGAACGGTAGGGGAAGCGGCCTCGTTAGCAAGTTCGCCTGCGAGCGTCGTGAGGTAGGTAGCCTATAGGAGAGAGACGATAGTTGAGAATAGTGTAAGTAAACATGGAGTTAAAATTCTGACACGAACGGCGCTAAAAATGGCAAACTAGCTGTGGCAGCTCATGTACAAGTCCAATGAAAGCTTTTCGTTTAATTAAGACAGAAGTGTGCAAAAACAGGGGGAAACATACAAAGTCAACTTCAGCAGCATGTAGCAGTTGTTGCTCGGCACTTTGACGCGTTGCAGCATCTGTATAGAATCACACAAACAGGGAACAAGTTAGTGGGTCTTCCACTCAAGTAAACAAGCTTGAAGCGTGACACATACCCGTCGACAGGGTGCCCGCCAACACCTGATTGACATCCATGATTTGATACAAATATATTCCCCGTAGTCGCGTGTTTCGTCACAGAAGAAGGGGGTTGTTGGTTGCGAGGGAGCAAACAAGGGGCAGGGAAATGTCTGCGGAGAAGCGGAATTGAGCACGACAGCGAGATGTACACAAGGTATTGAAAATAGAAGGGTAAGAAATTGCGGATAATGTGCGCTGCTCGCCGACAAGACTTTTTTTGGGGGTTGTTTGTTATGGTAACCTAGAATTGTCTGCCCCGCCCAAGGAAAAGGTAGTGAGGAAAAAATAAATATGCGGTAAAAGAGCCAAAGTGAGTGGATAAGAAGCTAATGAGCTTTTCAGCCCAGAAACAGCAATGGAAGGAGGAACTTTTCCTAAGTAGCCTTGTATGTCTTCCTCTCCGGAATGTAGAGGGTGGGGTGTAAGGAGGTGAGGTGAGGTGAGGTTGAAGCAGAAGGTTGTTTGCAGGCGCAGACGACAGTGTGGAGGACACAGACAGAGCGAATGCGGCTCTTCACCAGTCAGAAAGGAAAGAAGTGAGCCTGAGTCAGCGGGGTGCGTATCGTTTTTAGTGATGAACTCCAGCCAGATTCGGCTGGCGGGTGGGCCAAGGCTACGTATACTGCGATTAGCAGCGGCTTGGCACTGACCATCACCAAACAAACAATAATAATAATGTCTAACCTCTGTCTCTCATCTGGCCATGAGGCACACAATTAATTAGTTCAATACCATTAGTGTAATAGGCTAATAGCTAAGCTGTTAGTTGAGAAGTATTAATTAATAATTTCTCATACTAAATTCTATACAATTTAATTTATTAATATAGATTCACTATCTTGCATTTTCTCTCTATATATTCTTACTTCAATTTTCTTATTTATTATTTTTAATTTATTTATAAATGTGATTTCTTTCTCTCTCTAACTCTCTCTGACTTAGTTCTGACTTTTCAAAAGAGAAATATAATTTTTACAGATAATTTTCAATTCTTTAATATATTTTCTAAATTAACTTATTTTTTATTAAATAGTATAAAAATAAAAATAAAATAAAAATAATTTATTAATTAACTTTTAATATTTATTTTATATAGAATATTTTAATATATATAAAGTTTTTATGTATAAAAATATTACAGAGTTAAGCTCAAAATAAAAAGTATTATAAAATTAATTTTACAGCTTATTATTATTATTAATAATAAAAGAGATAGAACTGTAAAAATAAATAAAAATTTATTTTTCAATATAAAAGTATCAGTTGATAAAGATGATACAATGTAGTAGTTGATTGTATTATCAAGATCTATTTATTATACAGCTTTTTATATATAATAAATATTTATTAAGTAATCAGTGAATATCTTACTTAGACAGAAGTAGTCAGTCTGTAGAGAAAATTTAACATCTCTCTTAATTATTACTTCACTGAGTAGATATTTACAACTCAGCAGAGCAGTTCTATAACTAGAGAAGAAATATTATATACAAAAATAGTAGTATCTTCTGTCAAAAATTTTACAGAGAACTAACAAGAATTTTGAAGAATAAGAAAATAAAGAAATAGTAAAATAAATGAATAAACTATTATAGAGATAGCAGGTTAATAAGACTCTGTATTTATCAAGACATCTTCAGAGCTTTTCTGACTGTAAAATGTTTAAATCTCTATATTAATTAGAGTATCTTTATAAATTTTAACTATTAAAGCTTTTATTAGAGTGTCTGTAGTTATATTAGTAATATTTATTTATATAGTTTTAACAATACCTGCAGCTGCAGTATTACAGATATAATGATATTTAATATTAATATAATGTATATTACAGATAATCTTTGCACTATTTATTATAGTAATTACTCTGTTATTATTAAACTGACTGTGTGACTGTGTCTCAGATCAGAATCAGAATATTTAATAATATTATTATTAATTTAATTAATCTTCTTACATAATTTTAAGATTAGATAGTAGTTGTGACAGACTGCGTCTGATCAATTATATAGACTATTTCATTACACTTTATAGATTTCGCTGAAAGCTCTGATTCTCAGTCATTCTCAATCACTGATTCTCAGCTGAAAAACCTATGAAATTTCTATTCTTTCATCTCAAAGCTTCACTGTGTACATTACTATGTATATATATAAATATTCACTCTGATCACTGATTCTTGTACTTTCTCTTTCTTTTTCTTCTTTAATATTTTTCACTTTATTATATAAGATCTATAAATATTATACTGATCTATTTAGCATAGATCTCTTATACTTGAAAAACATTCATTATCTTCTTATTAGAAGTGATTATCTACTGAGATATCTGAATATATAACAATGTATAAGAAATAGAGAAATAATCAATCAGTTAAGCAGATACTGAGTCTTAATTAATTAAGCAGATATTGAGTTTCTAGATAGAAGCTTACTTATCAGTCACTCTGACTCTGTAATAAGATCTTATAAAGAGAATATCAGTGAAAGATCTGAGAGTTTTGATATCTTAGATATATAAGATATTCATATAATTACACTTCTTCAGATTTCACAGATATCACATATCTGATAAATAATATAATCATGTCTAATAATAATATGAGAGAATTCTTGAATGCGAGCATAGATGCAGTATTACAGTGACTTTAAACAATGTTGAAATTATAATAATAATAAATAGCTGATATTAGACTGACTGTGTGACCGTGTCTGAAACCAGAATCAAACTTTACAGTTATTACATTGCCTAAAAGCATTACTTCTGATCATAGTTTATATTCATTACATTGATTTCAAATCCCATTATTTCAAATATTAAAGGTCTCAGATTCAGTTTTCAAATAAAAATCTAGTCTCAGATAAAGAATATGTTTGAATTCTTAGTTACATTTTCATTCTGATCTCATTATTGAAAATGATATTAAATGAGATTATGAAATCATTTCTCACTTACATAATATCATAACATAGTGCTCATTTGTTGAAAATTCAACAGAGAGTGTTATCAAATATTATTACTTTTCTGAATACAGATTATAATCAATATCATTTTAATTAAAAAAAAAATGTACAATATAAAAAATAACAAAAAAACAAAAAACAAAACAACAAGAAAAAATCAAAATAAAAAAAAAATAAAAATAAAAAAAGAGAAAGAAAAAAAGAAGAGAAAGAAAAAAAGAGACAGAAAGAGAAAGAAAAATAAAAAAAAAAAGAAAAGAAAAAGAAAAAAATAAAAAATAAAAATAAAAAAAAATCAAGATCACAGAGCTGCAGCACTTTCAAAATACTTACTTCTCAGAGTTTTTACAATATTCATCATTAACTGTGTATCTCTCACAGTGAGAATAACACAGCTGTAATGAGTTATTATCTTAACATTATCTAATAAATAATCAGTATATATCTATATAAATATGAATAATTAGAAAACATACACTTAAAAAGTATGATCAGAGTGAACTCTGCTGTCACTTGAATAATATTAAGAGTAGAATACTGAAATTGATGATTCTTCTCATCAATTTCACAGACAAGATGTATGAAGATAGTCTTGAGAAATATAAGATTTTCAGACTTCTGATAGAAATGAATCTCACAGAGAGACTCTATTTTCATTATATCAGAGACTGAGTGTTATCAAAAAGTATTACTTTAATGCATATGTACTTACTGCAGTGATTCACTCTCTGTGCATATAACTAAGAATTGTGACTTTCTCATGCTGCACAGCTCTCTCTGAGATGCTGCTGCTGATTTATAACTCACACAGTCTTTCAGTTCAGCATGTACTGTGTATATACAGCTCTGTGTACTGAGACTGTGTTAATCATTATGATCTGATGTGGTACTTGCTTTTCACAGGCCATGTTTCATTTAATTGAGAAGAAGAAGAAGAATGTGACTGCTATTTTATTTAAGAGAGAATGAATAATTGAATCTGTAGAAGATAGAAGATAATTTGATTTCTTCTGCATTTGAAATTTAATTAGTCTATACTCTTCAATTTGAGAGTTTCTGAGAGTGTTTTAATAGTTTTTATATCAGCTTGAAATTAGTGATTGATTGAATAAGAGAAAAGAGAGAAGAAAGAAATGAGAATAACTTATCTTTATAATATAAAAACAGAGAATTGCTGTAATCATTTATTCTAGTAACAAAGATCTGTTTTCTGCATGTATCTCTGATACAGATTATATAATAACTGTATATAAAGAATATCAACAGTGCATGCATTGAATGAAGATAATATTACTATGCAACACTGTAGCTGTTTCTGTACATCACTGAAAGCTGTTAATATTTTCTTTAAGTCTCTTTATATTTGATAAGTCAGTAATATATTTCAATGCACTTCTTCTTTCATCATCATTATCATCATTATCATTATTATTATCATCATTATCATTATCATCATCACTATTATCATTATTATTATTATTATTATTATCATCATTATCATCATTATCATTATTATTATTATTATATTATTTCTGACCGTCTCTTCTGCCTCTATCTCTCTTCAATACTCACTGAAATCAATCATGTCATTTCTCTTCAAATATTCTGCGGTTCTGTGAACCATCAAGGCGCGTGAGCATCATCACAGATTGAAGAGAGAGAAGAAGAAGATATTCAAGTGAGAGAAGACAGATTGTAAGACATGTTATAATGCCTTGAAGAGACTCTGTAAGAGAGTAGAATGATAACAATTTTAAGTAACACTTCTGATAGATTTAGACTGAACTAAGTATAGAAATAATGTGAATGACATCATCTGTGAGAGATTGAAGAAGAAGATAGTAAAGAGTCTTATACAGCAGTGATGAAATCAGAAGAAGTTCTGAGAATGATTTGAGACTAAGATGAAGAGAGAGAGAGAGAAGAAGAGTATTACTGTAAATAAGTAATAATAGAAGAAGATTGAGAAGGTGTTAAAGTAGAAGATAAAGAAGTCAAAACTGATAAGTTTTTTATTTATTAAGAGATAATAATTTTTGATAATACTTCTGTTCTCTAATTGATTAGCAGAAGCTGACAGAGAAGAAGAGAATTGAGGTCTTATTCAGGTCTTGAATGCACTTCATGATTCAGAATATTAAGAAGACAGCTCTGCTCTCTGAGCATGTTAATCTGCTTATTACTGAGATAGAACCTGAGACAGCAGATCAGAAAATGCAGGATTTTGAGGCACAGATTGATCTGGCTGAGAGGAAGCAGTGAGAACCCTTCTCTGAGAAGACAGTGAAGAGAGATTTTGAGATAATTATCATCTCAGATAAGAAGAAGAAGAAGAAGAAGAAGAATGAGAAGTGAATTATGAAGAATGATAAGAAGAATGAGAAAGAGAAGAAAGATAATGAGTAGAAAAAGTTTTTTTCTTTTTATATTAGTTAGTTGTAAGTTCATAATTATTAATAATTGAAATTAATTTTGAGTTTTTAAAAATTATTGTACAAGTTGTAATCAAGTCAGGAACAATATATATATATATATATATATTTAACTATCATGATTCACAAATCACTATAATGTATAAGTATCAACATTTTTTCAACATTGATATTCACAATATTAATATATTTTTAATAATATTATCTGATAATGCAATTTAGTAACACTCTCTTTCACAATATTAATATATTTCAAGAAATATGACAGAGATTAAT